AAAAGAAATTCTGGAAGCCATGGAGTCTTTCAGATGCTTTCTAGCCATAACTTTCCTGTGCTTGGTTTCCGCCGGAATACGATCGGAAGAGCAGCGTGAGAAAGAAGTACCAGTGCAAAGCGAGTGCAATATAAATGAAAAAAATGGCAAAGAACTTTCCATTGAGACAATATTAGAGGTAATAGAGGGTCATATACGTAAGAGTTTTCAAATACTATGGGATACCTATGAATTGTGTAAGTGTTTGAAGCTTTATACTGAAGACAGTACAACGGAAGAGCCCACGAATGATGTATTAGACTATTACAAGACAGCTTGGCTTACATTGGAAGCAGGTTATTTGCAGGCTCATGCTATAGGAGGTAATAAATCTGGGACAGGAGTGCTAACAAATACTCAACAAACAGTACATCCAAAGGTGATTGAGTTTAAAGCAACAATGCTGTTTTTCGAGAAACATGTATTTTACCTCCTTGGTGATCTGCGCAACATTGCCAATAAACAGAAGAATGAAATAGAAGTAAATGAGATTGACTCGCTTAGGGCTGAAAGTCACAAGATGTGTCAGATGTACGATGAGTCTAATATTTTTAAATATCTTGATGAAGAAAATATTGAGGAAGAATGTAAGGGATGGATTGAAGTTCTAGAAAGGATTGATGAGAAAATGAATGGACTTTCTACCGCAGAGTGTGTGAGCATATTGATGAAAATATTTTATGCATATAAGTATTTGTATTGTAGAGTGGAATTTAATTGTTCAGAACGTGGATTAGAAGAGTCGTACAAACATTCTACAAATTCTAATGTTCATCCAACCGAATATGAGACATTAACACCGAATCCTGAACCACTCGAAGAGCATACTTCTGGCACGCGGCAATGATCTGAGTGGATGAAATAAAACCAAGTTAAGTACCATGTTTAGTATTCATCTATTCACACATCTATTCACCATCTCACACGTAAATACGCTCCTCCGCATCTTCACGCACCGCAGCACACAGTGCCAGGTACTATTCCGGTTGCACGCCACGTGTCCCAGCATTGTGAAGCGCTTACACCCACCAATAAGCAATTAAAGGTGATAGCAGCAATACGATGCGAATTACACCATGGCGCACCACTTCCTTCAATTCAGCGGGAGGGCACGTGCTCAAGGGCAGCGTAACAAGGGCAGCGAAACGTACAGCAACCACGATCGGTACAAAATACCATGTAAACAAAAAGCGCATTGTTCAGTTCAGTAAAATAAATTATTTGCAATTAATTTTATTCTACGCAACTTACAAAATATAAATAAATCATCATACACCTTTACTTACCAACAATAACGTTGTTTATCAAAATATGCACGAATCTAACGATGTACCCCAACACACCTAAGAACCCTATTCCTATGACATGCTGCCTCAACAAAAGCATGTACTCATCCTTTGTAGGGAACTCACACTTTGATATGAAGTGCTTGCCACGCATCAACTCTTTTGTCAAGCGGTTCTCCTTTGTTTTCTCTGACATGGGGGTGCAAAATTAATTTTTATTTTAAACCCGTAATTAAAGGAACTGCCACAGGATATGCGGTTCGTATGATCTACCCTTTGAAACCTGTGCCAAGACTGTCTCCCATCAGCAGGGCCCTTGCTTTACGGTGGCATATTCTGTTTCAGATGTTAAGGAGTGCTATGCCTGAATGTTGTGCTAGCAAGGAGATAAATAAAGGACTTTTACAGAAATATTAGGGTATACCAGCAACCGGTGATCCTTTGAGCACCGTGTCATGTGCACTGTGCAGTGGTAAAGGCCTAATACTACCGGTAGGTGTAAGGAAATTGAACTGTGAGTATCACCGCTCAATCCGCTGTATACATTGCATTTTCTTTGGTACGTCCTCCGCTAGCGCATCTTTTTGGTTCTGCAACATGAGAGCAGCAAGTTCATCCACAAAGAAAGGTTCTTATCCTGAACCGTTGTGAATGAAGCGATTGCTCTCAGTTACCGTCTTCTTCTCTTCAATAGCAAAACCAACATACCCTCCATTATTACATGCTACCACGTGATCATCAAAACCGCCCCAACACCCTCATCCCACACCCATCCATTCTAAAACACCCTCAAACTTAAGTTACAAACTGTGAAACACCATAAAGGAATGAATGTTTTAAAAAGTAATGAAGAGCACAACAGCAATGGTAAGAAGAAAGCATTACGAGGTATTAGATGATGAAGATGAAGGTACCGGTACAGTACTGGGTGGTGTTAGCAGTGAGGGGAGGTGTAGCAGTGAGGGCAGGTGTAGCAGTGAGGGGAGGTGTAGCAGTGAGGGCAGGTGTAGCAGTGCTATTGTTAGTACTAGCAGCTCAACTGCTAGTACTACTACTCGCACTGCTCCTGCCAACCCTGTAAATACTTCCCTTACTGACCCACCCCCCAATACACCATTACCATACCTTTCACCACTCTACAACCTTTCATCACTCCCCAAGCTATCCCTCTCTGCAATATCAACCATCCTACGCAATCGCTACACCCACAACATACCGTACACCTTAGCAAGCAACATCCTCATATCAATAAACCCCTACAAACCAACGATTCCCTTTCCACTGATAAAGAAGAACGTAACGTACGTAATAAGTGGTGAATCAGGTGCTGGTAAAACATTCCTTGCCAATGAAATCATCTCTAAGTGCTGTGATGGTGTGATCATAAGGGATGCATTCGTTGTGTTGGAGGCATTCGGCAATGCACGTACAAGCAATAACTGCAATAGCAGTAGGTTCGGAAAGATTGTACGTATGGATGAGAGGGTGGTAATTGATGCTTTTCTGTTGGAGGAGAGCCGAGTTACGCATGGTGCGTACAACTTTCATATTTTCTATCAAATGGTGAATTATTATGGATGGGATGTTGAGGATTGTGATTATATGAGAGAGGGAGATGATGTAGGGTGTGGTGGAGAGGAGGGATTTGGTGATGAAGAGAATAGGAATGAGAGTAGGAATGAGAGTAGGAATGAGAATAGGAATGAGAGTAGGAATGAGAATAGGAATGAGAATAGGAATGAGAATAGGAATGAGAGTAGGAATGAGAGTAAGTGTGCGGTAAGCGAAGAGCATCCATACCGTGTGGAAGAAAAAAATGGTGTGTATGGTGCTAAGCATAGCATGAACAGCACATTCTCATCGTACCACACCTTCACAGCAACTCTCAACGCAATCACCACTCTTTCACTCTCCTTGCCAGCCATAAAATCAATCCTGTACAACATCATACAGCTCGGCAAGCTGCACACACCCTCTCAACACTCCCTCATATCAAAACTTTCATCATCCCTAAAAACGGACATATCGGACCTGTTCACCAAGAAATTGCGCATAAAAGACGAAATAATCGTATCACCTCTAGAACATGCACAGTTCAGGAAGAAGAGGGACAGATTGGCACGTACACTGTACAAGGACCTGTTCTACGATATTGTGAACAGGATCAATGAGGGACTGCGAGGTGTTAGGGTGTTCAACTCGTGTAGTGTTATCGATATCTTTGGTTTTGAGTGTGTGGACAGGAATGGCTATGAGCAGTTCTTGATCAACTATGCTAATGAAAAAATGCAGAAGTGCTATCTTAGGGAGCTGGTCGTGGAGCGGGAGAAGGAGTATTTGAGGGAGGGTATAATACGTGATGACCGGTGTGGCGGTGTGTATACCGGCGGTACCTCCTTTCATGCACGTGATCAAAACGGCAAGGACCACACAAACGCATCTAAGAGCCACGCACATGCGATCAACGCATACCACCCGCACCTACAAACACCCTTGACATTGAACAGCAACATCCTGCACCTCATAGAAAACAGAACAGGCATCATCAACATAATAAAAGACGAGTCAAAGCTTAAAACGGATCTCATCACCAAAATAAAGCAGTTCAACAACACGCCCATCATAAAGACAGATAATGAACGGCTTACACTGGTGCACAGCATAGGAGAGGTAACGTATGATGTGAGTGAATTTGTAAGGAAGAACAACTTTGATTTGGTGGACAGCTACAGAAGAGAGGTAGACAGGATGGTTGATGAGATTGTTAATCCTGTGTTTGTTAGGTGTATAAAGCCTAACAGGAGCAACGATGGGTGGAGTGGTAGCAGTTTGATGGACAGCAGTGATGATTTGAGTTGTAGTGATGGGTTGGATGGTGGGCATGCTGATGCAATGAATGGAAATGGCACTGCAATGAATGGAAATGGCGATGCAATGAATGGAAATGGCACTGCAATGAATGGAAATGGCGATGCAATGAATGGAAATGGCACTGCAATGAATGGAAATGGCGATGCAATGAATGTAAATGGCACTGCAATGAATGGAAATGGCGCTGCAATGAATGGAAATGGCGATGCAATGAATGGAAATGGCACTGCAATCGATGCTCATACCGATACTTCCCGTACCGGTACACATACTACCCGGTCCACCACCGGTACATCAACTAATACCGGTACTACTGCACCTAACAGCATAAAATACGATAAGAAGTACATAAAAGCACAGCTGCTCATCAGCGGCATCCTAAATATTCTTCGTATGTCCACATACGAAAAGAAACTGCCGCTCCAATTCTTCAATTCCCTTCAGTGCTCGCTTTGCAACTTCACGTTAAACATAAAATGCATGAAGGGAAAGAACTACGTATACATGGATGAGAGAGAATACGTAAGGATGAACCACATGATTGAACGGATGAAGTGCAGTGTGCGGAACAGGGTGCATGTTATGGTACGGTACGTGCTTTCGAAGAGGAAGCAGGCTCGTGCTAATGAAGATTTGCAGATGAGGAGTGCACAGGTAGATGAAGAATGGGTTGATGACCGTGTCGGGATAGAACAGAGCGTGCGTACGATGGTGATAGACTATCACACACTCAACCGCTCGCCGATACGTGGCATGCCGTGCAAGGCACCATGTGTCATCTCATCATGCAAAACGTGTGCTGTGCTAAAGACCAAGTACGAAATACAATCGAAGTCCTTGCGTGCCAAGAATGCGCTTTCTGAGGAGAATAAGAAGATGAAGAAGAGGGTAGAGGAGCTGGAAAGAAAGATAAAGGAACTGGAGAGAGGCATACGGGACAACGAGAGAGTGAAGAGAAGTGTTCTGAGAATGGATGAGGGTAAAGAAACAGAGAATGTGAATCGGGTGTATGTGAGTGTAAGTAAGGTGAGGAGTGTTGACGGGTCCGAGAGGAGCTGTGAGTGTGAGGAGTACGACTGTGAGGGTGGTAGAACTGATGTGCAAGGGTGTGATGTGAAAGCGTTGGATCGTACCGTGGAGGAGATAGAAGAGAAAAATGGGATGAGTAGGAGCAGCCGGCTCAGTGAGGTAATGGAGGACATGAGCGTGAGCAGGGGTAGTGAGAAAACGAAAGATCGTAAGAACGATGGCAGGACGAGCAGTTCTGATGATACTGCAACGAGCGATGAAATAGCACGTGATAACGATGCAGCCGTCGGAGATGACACGATAAACCTGCTCTGTCCATCCCTTGCCAAAAAGATTTACAACCTGTCACTGCTCATTCAATTGCACATACAATCAATTCTTTTTGGCACTTCAGCACCCACAACTCGGCTGCACGCCCTTTCACTCGGCAATCTTTCGTTTATATACGTGCACAAGACGGGTATAAGCGACATTTACTTCTACAATGAGATAAAACGGCGTGTACTGATGTACGAGGACAATGTACGTGTGATAGGATACGTGTTAAGCAACATCATGGAGTACAACAGTTTCTTGTGCGGAATGGTTGAGGATGTTGGCGATGAAAATGTGTGTAATTTGGCGTACAGTACTCGATATGGTGGTGATAACGAGGTATGCACAGTCAATCTACGTGATTTGATCTGCACGGATGAGGGAGCGAGGAACGGTGCGGGTGGTTTATCTGGTAATGAAGATTTGGCCTTGTCTAACGATGCTGGTAATAATAAGGGCATGATTGATAATAGCAGCGGTAGGGCTGGTAGTGACAGGCCAGGTAGCCCTCACAACAATGCCACCAACAAAACAGTCCATAATACCAGTGACAGGTCATTCAAGCACACCGTGATCACCAACAATCTCAATTTCATGCTTTCACTCCAATTCTCAATCACCAATCACTTCATAAACCTTATCATCTTCGAGCTCAAACAGAACATAAATATTTTCAAGAACAGCTTCCTGTTCAGGCGCAACAAAATCAAAGACCTGACACATACCCTGAGAAGATTCCACAACCTGATGATACGCCTGCACTTCCCATCAACAACCCAGTACAACATAATGAACCATCTGCTGCAGTACATAAACACGGAAGTGTTCAACAGGCTACTTACAAACGTACAAGAATATGATAAGGTGAAGCAGTTGCTACGATCCCTTTTATCGGTGCTTGGCGAGGTAGATTACATAGATGGAATGTTCAATCTAAAGCATCTGGAGGAGAGTGTAGTGCTGTTGGAGAGTGGCAGCAGTGCACGGTGCTTTGCGCTTAGTTCACGGCAAATTAACCACCTGATCGCTGCTTACTATAAGAGTGGGGTTGAGATGGAGGACAGCGTGAAATTGAAGCTTTGTGGATTTGTTATGGGCAGAATGGCACGTGCCAGAGCGGTGTACTGTGTAGGTGATGGCATTGATAGGAAGGTCATTGATGAAATATTCAAGGATGTTATCAAATGAATATGCAAGGCTATACGGAGCATCGTACTTTCATTGGTGATACTTTATGTTCAATAAAACCAAACGTATTTATCCTCGTTTGACCGTCTCGCAGGTAATTCGTTGTGGTAACTTCTTCTGCTCGTAGCAGTACCGCACACATGAACTGAAACCGTTTGTTGTACCAGCATTTAAAATATTAAGTTGGTGTGGTGTTACCGCTATGTACAGATCGCTTTTTGGACACCTCTGCAAGAAATCCTTGCAGTTACCACGTCTATTTTTGCATACGATCGCTTTCATAGCACCACCCAATCGCGGCATGTCCAGTGTTTTGCTGTAATACTTCCATTTTACGGACCAAAGACTGACAAACCGTAACACGTGCTATTCCGGTTACAACACACCGTGGTAAGTGCTAGTGTACCGTGAGAGAATGTTCAAGATGAACAAGAAGTGCCATTAATTAATTAATTAATTAATTAATTGCTCCTTTCATGGAAGGCTCTATTCACGGATAAAAGAGTAAAACAAATCAATTCTTCCCTAATTATCAGCACGCCGTTACTCGAATAGTTTTGAGGTGCAGCTACAATCTGCATATTACCGATTCTGCTTCGGATTAACACTTAAACCCTGTTAACTCGTATTTACACCGCGTGCTGTATTGGTATACGAGTAGGAAACGTGGTAACACCAAACCACGTTACATATTTTTAGCGCGTATTGGACCAAACCAACGTATTCAACTAAATCTTCCATCATTAACACGCAAGCCATCCTCTGCTATTAATATTTTCATTCCTATGCATTTGATAATTCTTTTTCCGCTTATATACTTTTAACACGTTAGTTGCATAAAGTGATAAGAATAAGATCTGCATAACTTAATGCAATGCATTCTTGCATGTGATTTGAAGGAAAAATATGGTAAATTGCCATTAAAAGTTTTTCTTTTCACGTGGAAAGAATCGAGCTGTAAAATGGTATTTGAATGGACGAGTGCGGAAATGCTCCTGTGAGGGGAGGACCAAGGGCATAAAACAGAACGATTGATGGATCTACACCGTATGATTGTTCTATAGGGTTAATGTTAAGGGTTGTGTCCGCTAGGATGGTACGGGTGTAGAATGGCAAGGTTAGTACGATTTTATCTTAAAACGGTAATTTGACCTATGAATGGGGTTATCATCCTGCCCTAGGCATGCACCGTGCACCCTTGCCTAAGGCATGCACCGTGCACCGCACCACCGTCATTATGACCAAATTACCGTTTCATACGACACAACTTCATTTTTACACGCACTCCCTTTCTAAGACACGTGCCGTGGCATCAGGCTTGCACGCATGAACGGTCTCATCAAAAATTTTGATAACTGTGCGGTGATGCTGCTCACGTGTTGTTCCGGTGCAGTGAAATGAGGATTGGTCATTTTATGCGCACGTATCAACGCGATTTACCGCTGCAATTGTTGATCATGCCTGTCATTGCGATAAATAAGTGATTTGGATGAAGAAAGCCGTTTGTGCTGGTCTACCGGACATGCTCCTCGCTGTGCCAACTCGTTATTTACACCACGCACCAGTGCAACCTTTGTTTACGGGGCCTTGTACCAGAGCGCCGTGTTATTCGCTTGCCATCGCATTTATCACCGTTTTGTTTACGATCATCCACGGTGATGCACAATTAATTTGCTCCGCTTTCTTTTAGCCTGTTTTACACCAATGCATAGACCAATAAGCTTATTCTTGCATGCCAAACCTTAACCTTATCTATTTATGCAGGTGGTATTCTCCTGATCCGCCCATCAACCGCGGTATTTGTATTCCACTAAAATTTTACCCTACCTAAAAATGGATCAGCTGACACAACTCGCATCAAACTTCCCCGTGCTGCGCAAGCTCCAGCAAAAGACCAACAACAAAGTAAAACAGGAGCACATTCTGCTCATCGTCATTGCGCTGTCCATCATCACCATAGTATTCCTGCCGGTGGCATCGCTGGTAAGCAACGTGCTGTGCGTCGTTATACCGTTCCAGCGCACTGTGCGCCTGCTCATCGCCAACAAGCCGCCCACGCTTGATCTCGTCGTGTTTTGGATGACGTTCGGTCTTCTGTGCGTTGTGGACAGTGCGCTGATTGTTACGCGCATTGTTCCGTTCTACTACATTTTTAAGATGGTGGCGATGAATGCCATTGTTTTGGATGGCAGGGTTAGCCGGTTCCTTGTGGATGGCTACAAAAGGATGGGCTTTTTGGTTGAGGAGGACGTTGGGAAGAGAGCGAAGGAAGCGGTGGAGGTGCTGAAGGAGAAGAGCAAGCACCTTAAGGGAGAGCTGGATGAGATGAAGGACAAGTAAAGAGGGTGTTTTAAAGTTTTTTGCGCGGCTGTTCAAATATTTATGGTTCTGTTATGCGCATAATTAATTTATAGCCTTTGGTTCAGCGTTGTGTTCGATGAGGGACGTTTTCAAAAAGGGCAAGGATTTTGCTTTGTGGCAGGGCATTCGTGCTGAGGTATTTTGCTGTTTAGGGATGAGTAAGCACCTGAGCGGTATTTTTTTATTTTGGGATGAGCAAGCACCTGAGCGGTATTTTGCTGTTTAGGGATGAGCAGCTGCTCAACACGCATTGATGCACTTTATCGTTAAAATACGCTTTCATGTACGATTACTCGGTGATGCCCTGAATCTCTCGCTCTCTACTTATGCATTGCATGTTACGCATAAAAATTTAAAAAATAAAAAGGACCACATTTAATTAATCGGCATCAGCAACCACCAACGGCTTCCTCATCGCCACAATCTCAACATGGCACGGCTTAGTGTTGTACGGATTGACACGCCCATACGCGCGCTGTATCCTTCCGTAGATCTGTGGCGCCTTGTTAACCTGGCAGTGCACAATCACAAGGTCATCCGGCTCAATTCCCTTCTTCTCCGCCTCGGTCACCAAATTGCTGATCAACCCTATGAATGCCTGGCACGGCTTGACCGGCCACTTCCCGCGCGAGTCGGCACGGCTCGAGCCCTTCTCGTATTTCTTCGCCTGCGCGGTCCTCCCGCACTTCTTTGCATAGCGCGTCACCTTGATGCAGTCCTTGCGGTTGATGACGTTCTTGAGGAACGACGCCGCACGTGTGAGCGTAAGCTTTTTGAGCTGCGCGGACACTTCGCGAGCGTTCTTGAACTTTACGCGCAGCGATTTTGCATTCGTATGGACGGTGTTGGCGGGGTCCTCTATGGGGATGGAGTATTTATGCATTTTCTTAGGGATAAAAAAATTTGAAATTTTATGTGAAGGGCCGTTCTACGGCTCGGTGCTGGGGGAGAAAGGAACATTTGCGTGATGCGCCAGGAACGGGTGTACCTACGGTTTGGTGGACCGTAGACTGCCAATACAACTGCTCGCGCACCTTGGCGAGGACAACACGCATTCGGCAGAACTGCCATTTCGTTGCATGCGTACCACGAAGGCATTCCTGGACAGTGTGCGCCAGAAGAGCACCAAAACCGGTTGAGCAAAGGACCGCTCCTCCATGACGGAGCATGCCATGCCACGCGTATGAAATCGTTCTATGAGATGCGCTCACCGCTGCATTGAACTTCAAAATGAAAGTTTTTACGATCTCTGAACACGTTCAGCTCGTAAAGGAACGGCCAACATCACTGAGTATGCACCATCTTTGCTGGTGCGCTCAACGACCGGTACACGGCAATTGTCTTAGGTAAGGGCGCTTAAACGAAAGAACTGGCAGCGACTTATTCGAAGAAGAGGGGCAGTAAAGCGCATTTGTTGCAGCCCGTACCTAAAAAAGAATATTTTTGAACGGTGGACTAAAACCGTTTTTAAACGAGATTTGAACTATTTTACACAGCAAGCTGAGTTAACTCTGTCCAGGAAGGGAACAGAACTGATTGCTTGCAAAAAATTTGTTCCTTTCCTCTGCTCCATCTACCCGGCCCTGTGCCACTCCTGCTCTGTTTCTTTGGCAAGAGCTGAAAGGCTAACTCTAAGTTAATGCTTGCATGCCATCTGCGAGTAACAGCTGAATGCATTGTAAAAATTATTTTTAATTTTATGCTAAAATGAGAAATTAAAAATAATTTAATAATTTTAATGCACTCAGCTGCCAAGTCTTCCTTCTGATCAGGATCGGGCAATCACCACAAATACTGCATAATACGCGTACCGAACCGGTGCGCTGTGCTCTTCGTTGCCCATGTGCCTGCAATTTGATCGGTAGCACAGCAATTGCATTGAAAAATGTGCCAGAAAGGGAAAGAGCGGCAAAAAAGGATTAGCGCCCTGCAGAAAGTATAAAACAGAGAATGGCCTGCTAACCATGAACAGCACCACATCGTTGGCACCGCTCGAATTTGCTACTTCGTCTAATTCTACCGACACGAACATAACGGACGTAGCGAGCAGCATGAAAAGGCGGTCTACCTCGCTCATCGCGTTAGAACCGATTCTTCTGATCGTGATAATCTGCTACTTCCTTTATTGCCTTCAGTTCAGAGTACGGCGAATTTACAACCAAAGCAGACCGCTTGAGGAACGAGCAGAGGAAGCGCACTTAAAAGCTGCACATGATGGCATACCGAGCAGAGCCGTAGCCCTGGACAGAGAGACTGTGGTGTGATCGTTAAAATGATGCTAACAGGTGCGTTCTTCACATGGTTTAAGTTTTTAAAGTTTTGCACCAAAATGCCATTTTTTACAATCACGTTTTACCACCTCACACCGTGCATGCCTCGATGCGCACCACTCCTTCGATCCGTTTCGTAGCAAAATTCGCCTGAGCACCGCTGCAAGTTGAACCAGCAGTACAAACCGCTCCATGGCCGTAGAACACAGCGGAACGGTGGGGTGAACGCTTCTCATGCAGTGCCAACCGAGCACTCATCCTGAAATAGCAGGGCATAAAGCAATTGGCCGTGTACAAAGCGTTGCTTTCACAGCAGGCTGAGAGCGTGCTGCTGCGTGGCGAGGTGAGTAAGTGGGGGCAAAACGATGGGCAGCTGCGGTGTGCGCCAACGGACCAGGAAAACGTGCTGTGGTAGTTGAACGTACTTTTGGTGAAGCAACGCTCTTGCACGTGCAACGGACCAGGAAAGCGTGCTATGCCGTGCTCCCTCTACAAAATAATTAAGCATTCATTTGCCTTGGTAGGATTATTACGGGGTGCTTCTCTGATGCACGGCATGGTACCTCATCCACCGTACCGTGGCACAGCGCTACGGCACGGTAAACGAGCAGTTCAAGAAAATTACGGTGAACGGTTCATTAAATACCCAAGGATTCGTCTTATGGAGCAAAATGCAGCGGTGACAGCAACACGCTCGTTCTACCCGGTCGTGCAAATGACGGCAACGCGCTCACGCACCATGTCCTGTGCTCGTTCTATGGTTCATGCTGGAACGGCCCCTCCAAACGAAGCGTTCCACCAATTCACAGTTTCTAAAACCACCCGCCACGAAAACGAGCATTCATAGGAAAAGCGCTGCTTGCAGAGCATGCTATGCAATCTGTGCGCTTGCCTGGAAGTGGCAACCAAGCACATCCTGGTGTTTGATGCTGAGTCCAGCGCATCGAACAGCAACTACGTTGCATTTAGCTGGAGGGCACGGGCGTGGCAGACTTTGTACGCAACTGCAGAACGGTTTGTTTGACTGTGCCCATCGGTGACGCACAGCGCTCCTTGTGTGCGCGGCAGAGCATGGCCGTGTGCACTGCCACTGCCGTACATTCGGTGCAAGGGAAATTGCACGCAGACCGTAGCAGAGCCTTGTCCACACGGCAGCGGCACAAAATTTGAAATTATACCGGCTCACATTCCAAAGCTGCTCTTCGAGAAGGTGCTGTCAAAACACCACGTCCCCTACTTCACCTCTGCTGAGGTGTGCACGCTTGTTGAGTGCCCGCTTCTCTTCAAGGACAAGCGGGCACTGCTTGCATACGTTGTGTACCTCCACCTGCAGAGCCACCCAAGCTTTGTCCATCAGGTGGCGGCATGCCGCAGCGAAGAGTTCTTCGCTGTGTTTGTGTGCGGCACGGAGCACGCTGCGAACGGTTTTGCGTTGTTGATCGGTTCGAGCGTGGTGGTAGGGCTGCAGGGTGGTAGGGCTGCAGGGTGGTAGGGCTGCAGGGTGGTAGGGCTGCAGGACAAGCACTGCAGCAATAAGCAGCAGCAATAAGCAGCTCATCGCTGTGCACCACCACGTTGAGCTGGGCACGCCGCTGCTCGGATTCATGTTCGATTGCCTGAGCGTGAGCTACGGTTGCCTTGCCGAACACGAGGAGGTTCTGCTGCGGCACAGGCACATCTCTGAGATCGCCCAAGAGTTCCGTAGAATTACCGTGCCTGCGTGTACGAGGCAGTTTAATGAGGGGATACGAATCACCGTGGCATGCCATCACTGCTCCGTTGAGTTCATCGATTCGTTGTCGTGCGGGCTCAAAACCGTGAGCACGAGCATGTGCGGGAGTCTGCACCGCACCGTAAATCGCGTTCACCGGGACATTGCAGAGCTGCCGTACACCAAGTGCTTGTTCCACGCACCGTGGAGGACTTGGAAATGCTCCGCTGCGATGCTGCGCCCGACACAAGCTCTAGATTTGAGGGCAAATGCTGCAGCACTGCGGTGCACGGAGTGCAAGCAGCGTTCTATCTCTCCAATAATGCGAACTTTGGTCGGGTCAGCCTGCACACGACCGACTCGCACTTCATGTTTGGTGCGGACAGAGGGTCGGAGAGCCACTTTTTGGAGCTGAAGGACGCTAAAATTGAGCTGAGGGCGTAACAGCCGATCAGGAGATCGCATTCGATGGCAGAAACACGTGCCAAGGCGAGCAGGTGGTTTGATTTACAGCCCTTTATGGCCCCAAGCCGTGTCTCAGACGCAGCATGGCGATCAAAGCATCACCAACTCGCGATCAGCCCCACGCTCCTGTGCAACATCGGCTTAGATCGCACCTTGGCGCTGCCTGACCGCTCCGGCACGCTTGGGGATGCGTGCCTGGTGCTGGGCGTTAAAGCGTGCTCGATCTCAGGAAAACGGAGTGTCTTGATCGTTTGACGGTGGAGCTCTCAATGGCAGGTTCATGGGTGTGAGGCAGATCGGCCACCTACACCGCAGAAACGTGTGCCGTGACATCGATGTGATCAAGTCGCTGCTACTGGGCCTTGAGCGCGCAGATTGCCTGCAGCTCACGAGCGATTACCCGGCTGTGAGTTACCGCGGCATACGGCTGTACCACAGCGCTCGTCCCTTCAGCCCGCCACCGAGCACAAGCCTTGGATGCGTACCAACGTTGCGGCACAGGGAATCACCGCTGAGCTGCGACACCTCATGGGCGTACATTTACAAATGTCCTGGTCAACCACCTTCTGCAATGGCAAACGTGCCAGTCCTGAGAGCAATTCTACGAATGAATGCGTATTAGCAGTACCTCACGCTGTACGCTTTTACCTATGCTGCGGTTCAAAGCTTTTAAACATTCCCGGCAACGAAGCTAGGCACCATGCACGTCACCGTTTCATTCGAACATTAAATAACTTTAATCAGCCGTCCACTAAAACACTTCATGCTACATTTTGCCGGTCAGCTTTCCTTGGCGCCTTGCCCGATCGCGGAGAAGCGGTAGGACGCTCTTCCTCCTGTGAAAGGAGATCGGTCATTTTATAAGCATCATAACCGCCCTTCTTATTCGTTTCATCCTTGTTTTCCGTTGAAAAAGTACCAGCAACACCCGAATTCTCTCCACCCTCTGCTCCTCTTTCCCGTGCACCACAGAGACTAAGACCCTGTCTCCTACGACGTCGCACATAGTGGTACAGTAACACAACAAATAAGACAAGCACCAAGCAGCTGAACACAGGAATAGAAGCGTACAAACCATACGAAGATGCATTGTTGGTACCTGGATCAGCAACAATACCGGTAATATCTGTATCTGGCCTAGCGGTCGGTAAGTATTCAGGCAGTGGGGTAGGTTCAGGCAGTGGGGTAGGTTCAGGTAGTGTGGTAAGTTCAGGTAGTATGGTAGGTTCAGGCAATAAGGTGAGATTAGGTAGTATGGTAAGTTCAGGCGGTGGGGTGTATTCTCCAAATCCAGACGAGTTCAATGTCGTCATGTTGAAAAAATCTTCATCATCAATTGCAGTGAGCTCAAGTCCGGGAGAAGCTGTTCCTTCGTATGAATTGTTTGACATAAGATGTTAAACGTAAAATGCTGCGTATTTATACTTTTAAAAAGTATAAATAAGGAAATGTACGTATCCGTTCAGCAAAACCTTCACATCTTTAGAGCAAATTTACCAAAACTGGTTAGCATGCCATTCATTGCACCATCCGAACACTAAGCCTTGCTCCTGTTACGGACAGAGACTCCTTTATGGTATGCCCATTTGCTTGTTGTAAGGCTCACAGCATTTTACCAGCACCGATTCGGTCATAGCGCAATTTTAGTGTTTGCACTGCATAATAACTTATTCTAATGCACACAACGTTGGCATAAATAGAAATACAAGTTGAAAGATAATTGGTCAGTCCATAAAAATTTAAAAATTCTTACGCTACGTTTTTGCGCCAGTACAGCACTGCAAATTGTTACTAATTCGTTTCTCTAAACATTCTCAACCATTATTTACAAATAATGTTCAAAATGGTACAATTACCAAATATAAATAAATTCTTCAACCGCTCTAAAGTATCTGAAACAAATGCAGAAACATACCATAACGTAATAAAGGAAAGAAAGTATTTAAAGGTAATTGCACCCTGTACCATTTTATAAACGTAGATAGCGTAGCAATTAATTTCGTAATCAATTATTATGCATTATTAAGTAATTTGTGTTTGGTTCTGCTCAATTTATGGCATTCTCTATTGTACAGCCTAATGCGGAGCATGAACCAAAAAGTATAATTTACGAACACAAGAGTATGTTTTGCTGCTCTGTGCTCACAACCATTCATTACCATCGATTCTTTACCATTTTGCACTCCATATCGGTTAAATTATTGCATAAATGTAAAAAAGTATTTTTAGCAAAAAATGAGCAGATAAGGTATGCATAAATAAATGAGAATAGAACAAGTGAGCAGATAAGGTATGCATAAATAAATGTACATAAAATAAATGTGCACTCATCTTCGCCACAGAAGAGTAAATGCAAAGCATTCTCAGTAAACAATCATAAAACAACGCACTAGAGCTGTGCGGTGCAATGAACTGCTCATGACCAAAAATATGCACATTCTTACCATAACTATGATTGCCATTCCCGTCTCCGCCATAAATTGTATGAGCAGTACACTCCAAACAAATTCGTTTATCCGTTCAACTCTTATGTTATGCACCGTATGTTCGTTCTTAATACCTTTCAGTTAAACATGTGCACAGAATTGGTTCGCTGAGTTACGCCACCAATTAAATCGTTCTTCGAAAATGTTTGCTAAAATTGCAGGTACGATCAAAACGTGCGGTTAGGAAGTAAAGCATTTCATAGGATGACCATCAATGGTACAATACCTGATATGAAGAGTACGGTGCTACGTTAAAATAAAGCTGCCTACACACGCCATTTCATTATTTCAGAACATTCCTCTCAATACAGGCCCGTTCAACAGGTGATGCTCCGCAGTGCCGTAAAAGGAAATGTTAATATTATCAGACATTCTACAACAACTGTATACAAATACGTTGCGTACCATGGTGTACAGGCACGTTCACAACATACTTAAACATGTTCTATGCTCCATTCTATCTCATTACTACACCAGAACACTAATTTTTCAGAATATACCGCACAGTGAAACGTGGTATAACAGGTACGTACAAAAAATATTTATAGCACGTATTTACGGACAGCATGATGTTTACGGACACGCAAAATATAACAAGTACTGAGGAAGTGGTGCCTACAACAACAGATCAATCAGCACAAGATCAGAGTATTTTTGAGAAGCATAACATACCAATTATCACATTAACATTTGCTATCGTGTTTGTAGGGTTTGTTCTTTTGGTGTACTGCTTTAAAAATAGGTTGAGGCAGCTCTCGTTGCGTTGGTAGTTCTGAATGGATGTAGTGCAGTAAACGGGTAAAATAAAGCGTTGGTGGTAACTGTGGTGTGTGCACAAGAAATGGTTCTGCTAAGCGAAATGGTGCAGAACTTTTACGCCATTTCTGTTTGTAGAGCGTTCAAGTATTTGTTCTGTACTCGTTAGTTTCTACGCTTTGCAGTAGATTAACATTCTTCTCTACCGTTGCAAAATCTTTATGTTGTATTGCTGCATATCATGCATCGGGTGTTCTGCAGCACGTGCATTTAAAAGCGCGCTGTGTACCATTTAAAGCATGGCACAGGTAGATACACATTTCTAAGTTAGTACATGCTTAATACGATGGTGGTACTGTGACAGAATTGTTGTTCACTCAACGCAGAAAACAAACGATTGATCGCAAATGTTCCTCAGCTGATCCTTCAAATAACGATTAGCAGTACGATGGTAAATTAAAATTTGCTGAATAATTCATATGCGGTAATTTTCGTATTTCTAGATTATCTTCACTACAGAAACACTTTTTCCACCATTCCGGTCAATCCTTCGGTAGCACTCATAAATAGCAATGCTCCACACTCACATTCCTTTTTTACGTTATTAACAGTCTTAGTGTTAATGACAAGAAATGTTTTATCATTTTAATATGCCATATAAGTACAGCAATCAGAGTAAAAAAGAGCGTGCAGCACTGGCCCTGTGCTATCGCTGATGAACACAACACAAGCAATCACCGGTGTACAAAATTGCTTACTACCAGATAACCACACGGTACGTTACATCGCACATAACGGTACGTATCACAGTTTATACGAGAGCGAAGTGAGTTCAACACCGATGCTCCATACAGAGTTGCACAGCGCGGGAGCATCATCAGGAACAACCGTTGCTGTTATTCTGCTTGGGCTGTCAGCAGGACTGCTCGTGTTTCTGGGCTTATCATTGGCTTGGAAGAAGTTCTTTAAGCCCCCACCACCCAAACATCACCAAAAATCGCCTTCAACCGTATTTGTGCCCATCATTGATGTGATAAAAGACACGGCATCGACCGACAGAATGTTGCCCATCGAATATGAGGATGATTGTTTGGTGGAATATCCAGGTAAAATGGTACACGACCCGCATTATTACACCCATTAAAACGTATGATCTTATTTCGGTGCTGCACATCTTTTTGTTTCGTTTAGGATGGAGTTCCCCTTAATTTTTTTGTATTCTACGTAACAAAGTACCGATTGGTACTTTTTTACGTATTTTTACTCTTTTAGATCGTACTGCTACAACACACCGTGTTAGATCATGGGCTGAGCTGTGCTCGTATCACGCCACGTATTTTTATGATCCTTCATCCGTAACTATTCGTACGGTACGGTACTTACTAGGAAGGAGCTTTACCGCTGTATTTACAGAAGGTGTTTGTACCGCGTTCATTTTCATTTAATAGCTGCTAAATATGCAAGCGATGAGCTGTGCTATCTTTCGCATGCAGGATGCTTTCTAACACCCTCAGTAACAGTGTCTTGGCTAGAACAGTATCCTGTCCAGCAGACTCATAGCATCGTTCAGATAACGCTCTGTCAGTCTTGTTCTTCTTTTGCTGTACTTGTGCCTTTTAATATAAAAATCAGGTATGCGAGTAATACCGTGCCTGTAATTGGTACCGATAGGTTTATAATCGTTTATCCTACTATCACCGCTCTTACTTCCATGTATATTGCCCGTTTTATTGTTACCATTTTTGCTGCTCAGCCCAGCACCTTTTCTACCTATTTCGTTATCCTTATCTTTACCACTGCGATTATCATCACCGTGATTATTGGCCCCATCACCAATGCTACCGGTCCTTTCGCTCTTCTTGCCATCCCCACCATTCATATAATCAATCGCGTACGGTTTATACTCAACCGCACTCTTCCACACATCCCTAACTCGCATTTCAAAGGGAAACAGCATTTCATCAAAATCACCGTGGTACCAATTACCCCCCTTAACCTGCTGAACACTCCACACATAGTCAATATAAGAGTGGTGATGGAAAAAGATGGGATCATTGCATGAATACAGCATTGCCATATCACCATCCTTACCACCCACATTCAAATGGACGATAGCGTGTGGCACAATCTCAAAAGATGTGCAAAATTTGCTAAACGGTAATTTCAGCATTCTTTTAATCTGTGCTGTGCCATAGAATGCATCAATGAATGTTGATCTTTTTACGCAATGGGTAAAAGGAAAATTTACGCGGAAGCAATGGTTGGTATCGTTGATTGGCCACACGTGCTGGAGAGCGTATGATTGCGTAGGTGTGTAGGCATCCATCGACCAGTCCCAGTATGGCACACTAATTGTTTTATTGGTCACGGTTTTTATGATGTGCTCGAAGTACAGCAGAAATGCGCGGTGCCATGGCAAGAATCGCGTGCTGTTGTGTGCGTATGTTTCGCATGCAGTGTGTAGAAGGGCCAGATCATCGATTATACCATGATCCCTTAGCATGTTCACTGCATTCTTGTACTCTGCCAGTTCCTCTCCCGTCAGGTCCCGCAGTTCTTTCCGTATTTTTCTCTTACTGTGGCTGTTGGTCCTTGTATCATTGTTTATCGAGGGATGAATCAAGTAATTTTCGTTTATGGTGTAGTTATTTGGATTAGCGGTATGTACATCGATACGGCCTGTTGCTACATTTCCGTTCCTTACATCGCTTCGAACAACAATACAAAGGAATAGAAGCGGAATTGTTGACATGAAACGTAGAGTTGTATCTCTTTATATAGATTTACGCATAAACAGCAGTAAATCTTAATAAGATTCATTTATGCAGTACATATCAATTTTATCTTTATTTCTGTCCATAAACAGCAGTAAATCTTAATAAGATTCATTTATGCAGTACATATCAATTTTATCTTTATTTCTGTCCATAAACAGCAGTAAATCTTAATAAGATTCATTTACGCAGTATTCCATCCATGTTGGTATACTACCCGTATAAATAAACGAGTATTGAACAGTTCATTTCGTTAACGTTCTTTGTCACGATCAATCCTATCAAAACCCCATTTTTATATCAACACCATTACACAGTACCAATTCTGTACCGATGCACTCACCAGTATCGCTGTTCGTCACCAACCCCTACCCCACACCATCATTCCACTTCCTTATCATCCCCCAAACCTTAAAAATCTCCCTCTTCACACCTACGCACCGCTCAACCTCCCACTCGCCCAACGCATTGTAGTACTGCACCACCAAGCTATCGAAGTATTCCTGCACTGTTTTAATGTACCTGTGCTTGCGGTCCATCGTGATGTGTTCTATCATTAACGTTCTTCTTAGCAATGCCTTGTTGTGTTCTATGGTGGTGTATGGACTGGCACCTGTGTACGTTATGGTGGGAGGGTCTGCTACCTTTGATTGGTTGTCCGTGTCGTGGCAGCTCTTGCCATGGAAAGGATTTGCGTTTTGAAGGGCGTTGTTGAAAGAACTTGGATTGCAAAACGTGCTCGTATCATGCTCTTCACCAGGGCAACCACTCGTATCACAGAAGGCACTCATACCGTGTTCCCCACCTGAACAGCACTCTTCTCCTCCGTAAGAACGATTGCTCACCCCAATGTCACATAAGCACCTCCCATCACCTCTCCATGCACCATAAACAGCACGTACCGTTCTGTCCCTCATTGTTCGGTACACCTTCGTATGGTTTATCAGCATTTGCATTTTAGTTCCGCTACTTTTATAATTTGATACGCACCGTTTCACGTGCCGGGAAGCGGTGCATCTGCACCATGCCCATGATTGAACGCGTGCTGCTTGGTGTGGAGGCACGGGGGGCGTTGAGCGGATCAGGGGTAAGGGATTGCTCGGTTCGTGCTGAAGGGCAAGCGCTTGCAGGAGAAGAGCGCTCATGCAACGATGCATAGATTGTGCACTGTAAGACAGAGCAGTAGATCAGCACGTTTCATACGATCTAATCTATACCCATGAAACGTGCTAATCTACGCATTACACACCATTCTCATCGTTAATATTGTGCTGTTCGATCCCTCATCCTATTTTTATCACCAACCTTATCCATCCATCACGCCATGTTCATATCCAATCCATCACCCCTGTCCTGTCCAATCCATCACCCCCGTCCTGTCCAATAAAAACAAATCATCACCAAAAAAGAAAACAAAAAACCAAAAGGAACGGTCATCCCATGTTCAACCGCATTCTACTCGGCAAAAAGCTTCCGAAGTACTCTGATGAAGCGTTCTACCCCTCACAAACAGCACCAAAAAAGGCGGTAATAGGTAAACACGATAACAGTGCCATATTCTGTGAATACATGTGCAACAATGATGCGCGGTTGAGTGTTAAGAGCCTGAGGCAGATGAGCAACGAATGGCGGTTCGGTGTGTATGTGAAGGCGTTGGGAGTGAGCGGAAGTGTTTTGTGCTACGGGGTGGTGAGGGCGTATGATCGAATGGTGGTGGGATGGTTGGTTGATGAGTGTAGGGGTAGGGTGAGTGTGGATAGGGAGGGTGTGGTTGAGAAGGACGTGTTTAAGATTTATAAGTGTGTGATGGAGGAGTATTATAGTAGATATGGTGAAAAGGGGGGTGATGATGAGAAGAGTGGAGAGAAGAGTGGAGAGAAGAGTGGAGAGAAGAGTGGAGGGAAGAGTGGAGAGAAGAGTGGAGAGAAGAGTGGAGGGAAGAGTGGAGAGAAGAGTGGAGGGAAGAGTGGGGAGAAGAGTGGAGGGAAGAGTGGAGGGAAGAGTGGAGAGAAGAGTGGAGAGAAGAGTGGAGAGAAGAGTGGAGAGAAGAGTGGAGAGAAGAATAGCAAAACTACTGAGAAAGCAAGCGGTCGAACGAATAGCAAAACTACTGAGAAAGCAAAGGGTAGAACAAAGGAAAAAGCAAGCGATGAAGATCAGTACAACGCTCTCGTAAAAAATGCAAAAGATGACAATCACTACAACAGTGATGATGCACTGGCCCTGCTTCCCAGCACATTATTCCACAAGCCACTAATCATTCTCATAACAAAGGTGCTTGATCTACCCCACAGCACACCATCCCTCACCCTATCTATCATAAGTTGCATAGTTCTCGATCTTAAGCTGCTATTGTACCAGCACCAGAAATACATCACAAAGGAGAATTACAACGTATTCATCAGAGAGTTGATCTACACAGACGATGCACTGTTTACATACCTAGACGTTCTCATCACACACAAAATGAATAGCAGCACATTGAGCAACGTTGTAGCACGTGAGGGAATGGACATGATCAGGTACGTAAGGTACCACCTGCTTGACAAGGAGATAAACACCGAGGTGGTTGATGTTAATGAGAAGGTGAGTGTAAGGGAAGAGTACTTTGATTTTCTGGTGGTTGAGAATCAGATGATAGAGGCACAGGTGCACATGAGAAATACGTTTTTAGAGGAGATCGGAGGACTGAGAGGGGAAAATGAAAGGCTGAAGAGAGAACTTGAAAGGATGAAGAGCGGAGAAAATAATTGATGAAGAATTATCATCTGGTATGGCAGGGCGTTGCAGTCGGGATATTATTTCTGTGTTCATGTCTTGTGATAGGACTTGTGTTAACAGTCTAAGCCACAGGAACAGATCTAATCGAACGGAAATAGTGCAGGTCAAAGTATGAAGGGCAGAATACTAATCATTCCACGGACGCATACCTAAACAACAGTGCTGAGATAAACCGCTCATTGATCAGTTGAACGATCACCATCCCAGTGCGAGATCAGAATGTGATTATAACAGAGGTGCATAGCACCTGTTGTTGATCGTGGAAGCGAAGTAATTTTGTAATTCGTACACATGGTGGTGGTTGGTATTGATCGTTTCATGCGTTGCGATGTTTATATAGATGATGATGCATAAATGAACCTTAAATAGGAGTGTATTTAAGAATAAAAATAAGATTTAACGTTGTATTTAAGCATCAATGTATAAATAATAATACGTAGCATAGATTAATAGCTCACAGCAAGATGCGCTTAAACGACTACTACGTACCAACCTTGAGGCATAGAAACAACCAAACATCCAGGGCTGATCAGCAGTATCAATCAATTGTTATGTAAATGCGAAGGCCGTATTTGAACGATAAAAAGGTAAAACGAAACTAAGAACGCGTTGAGCACCGCAGTACTAAAAATATGAGCATGGTGCGTTAGCCGTACACCGCGCGTAAAAAACAGATTATTTATTTGCTCGTGCAATGCACAGATATGACATTACACTCAGCACCTGATATTTTGTGGCAACATTTCGTACAGACAGTTCAACCTGTGCTCCAACCTCAACACTCCCTGTCGAATAAATTTACGTGTTGTCCCAGTTACACCACCTGCACCGCACTCGTGGTAAGCAAATTGGTGAACTACTGCCAACCGTAGTCTCATCGGTCATTAATTTCCAGAGAACCAACGAAATCGCCTAACTCCACGCAATGACAAACACAAGCAGGCTGTGTTCCAACGCAGAGCCGTGGCACACTGAGATCGATCCAGTGCATAGTCTTCCTTCAAACATCCCCAACCAAACAAATATTAATAGAACAAAGAGCACCAACCTGCCAGAACAGTAAATCCATCCACCATGCGCACAAACACCAATTAATGAGCAAACCTTCCCATTTGCATGATTAACCCGGTACAATCTAATTTATTCATCGGTCACTCGTAGCAAAACATCACCGCACCGCATGACTGATTCTATTCATGCTCTCTCTGTCAATGTCCACATCAACGATCACCTTAACCTTCAAATCACCATTTCCTCCCTTTTTTTTCCTCATTCCCATTCCCCTCACAGCAAAAAAATCGCCTATTGCCTTTACATCGGCCCACCGCAGATTGTACGCCCTGCCCCCCGGCAGGTACACGGTCTTATTCAGCGTGACCAGGTCCTTAAGACCGGTCCTAAACACATATTCAAGATCATCTCCATTCCGCTTGAAGAACGGATTGCTCTCCTCTTCGATCGTGATGACCACATCCTTATACCCCGAGCGCGTTGCATCACCGGCTCCCTCGTACGTAAACTTAGTGCCGCTCTTGTACCACGGCTTCACATCCACATTAAACTCTGCCACACGCGCACACTCACGCCTCACAGTCACACACACCCTCTTCGTAACACCGTTGTACAGCTCATCAAGCGATAATTTGAGCTTAACCTCCTGTGTTATCTTTCTCTTCCGTCCCAGCGCATCGCCAAACACGTCGCCGAATGCGCCCTGAAAGTCGTTCGTCCTAAAACTGGAGCCCTTAAAATTGCCAAAATCAAAAATGTTACCGAACTGTCCGTCCGTGAAGAACTGACTGAAATCGTGTACGTTATGTGCGCCCTGCGCACCTACACGTCCAAACGTGTCATACTCCTTGCGTTTCTGCTCGTCGCCCAGTATCTCGTATGCGCTCTGTACCTTTTTGAACTGCTCCTCTGCCTTTTTCTTCGCTTCGGGACCGCCCTTCACCCGGTCGGGATGGTAGCGCAGTACATGCTGCTGGTACGCCTTCTTTATTTCGGATTGCGATGCCGTCCTTGGAATGTTCAGTGTTTTGTAGGGGTCCTCCATTGATGACGAGAGGGTGCGTTGTTTTTTATGGGAAGAAACTTCTAGAAAAGTGTACGGGGCTGGAGCGGGGGGGTGTACAAAATAGGATAGCTTTCCAAACAAATCCGTTTAAAAGGTGATTAAATTTTGTTACGCTCTATGACCGGAAATAGCGCGCTTTTCAACGAGAGAAAGAAGAAAATGATCTGTGTTGAGCCGGGCAGTGATGATAGGATGATGTATCGTATACGGAGGTGCTGCACCGATGGGATGTATACCTGTTAATGAAGTGTATACTCCGTGTGTAGACGGTAAAATTCGGCATTTACGGTTAGTTTTGCAGCCTTCTACGCTGCAGGCATCGCTAAGATCAGTAAATGCGTTTCAAAATGCACAGCATAATCAACCGTAGGTACGGCAACGCACTGCAGAAGAGTGGAGCGTAGCATTGCAACGAGCATACACGCTATTTTAACCATTCCCAGGAGTGTTTAGCGGTACAGCGTTCTGTTTATGCAAATTGTTATTCTATTTAAATACTTGTTTATGCAAATTGTTATTCTATTTAAATACTTGTTTATGCAATGTATTATTCCATTTAAATACTTGTTTATGCGCATAATCAAATAACTCTCATTTATGTTTAAAGTTTAATTAAGTGTTCTATCATAGATGGGGAGTGGATGTACCTGTGGTAAAGGACGCTACAGTTTTACGGTATGAGCACGTTTTGAAGTGTTGCGCTGCGCTCTCCTGGATTGTAATGGATCGTAGCACGTGTTCTAAAACAATGCTACAAATCGCGAAATCATACATCATCGTAAATCTCCTCATAACCACTCCCATTCCTACTCTCCTCGATCTTCTTCTGTTCTTCCACGCTCTTCTCCTTATCAAGTGCATCCTTCTTCCCAACCATCGCACATATTCTATCCTTAATCGTATTAATGTCTCTCTCTAGTCCGTAAACCATCATATTAACTTTCTCTCTCCCATCCACCATCTTTTCCCTGCGCTCCTCCAAATTCTTCAAATTATGCGCATAAATTTCGTGCTCATCTTTTTTAAGCGCAATCTCTGCATTCAAGCTGTCCAACCGTTTGTTAATCGCTGACAATTCGTTATTTAACAGCCGTATACGCGCATTGTTACGATCCTGTCGCTTGGACATGCTCGATGCGCTCTCGTCAAGACCTTTTATCGTGTGGGTAAGCGTGTTTAGATCATGCTTTGCGCTCTCAAGCTGCGCTTGTAGAGATGATAAGCGCTCTTTGAGGGCGCTTATCTTGTCTTGCAGGGCATGCTGCACCCTATCGATCGTGGCGAGCCGTTCTGATGACTGCTTATTCTTTAGAAGCAGTTTTTGCTGAGCAGCCTGGTTAAACGTGCGCCGTGAAAATGACTCGAGCGATTGCAGCGAGTTAAGGGATGATTGTGGGGATTGCTGTGGAAGGAGAAGGTCTATGAGGGTGTCCTGTGCGTTGTTGTTTGGCTGGGAAGGATTTGCCGTGGGAGAGGCATTTTGTGTATTAGAACTGGGAGAGATGTTGGGGGAGGAAGCATTCCCACTGTTCGTGCCGGGTAGTGCACCGTCCGTATCGTTCCCATCGGGTGATTTCCTGGGCAGCGTACCGGAAGATGAGTCACCGTCATCATTCTTTGTTTGGTGCGATATAACGATCTTTGGCACTGTTTTACCATTCTTATCCTCGTCGTTCTGCTCATTTTTCTTGCCATTCTCTTTTTCGTCGTTCTGCTCCTTGGGCCGCTCATTTTTCTTGCCATTCTCTTCCTCGTCTTTTTTCTTTTCCTTGCCATTCTTTGTGAGCAGCTCCTTTAAAAGATTGTTTATGCTTTTAATTCCTTCGTTAAGTTCCCGGTTCAGATGGGAGTTTTCTTTCGGTTTAGGATTATCGTTCGTATCGTTGGATTTGTTGCTGCCATCTCCACTATTATCCTTACCATTGTTGCCGTTCCTTTTATTACCGTCCTTACCACTGCGAGCTTTACCTTTCCCGTCCCCATCATTATTATTTCCATTCCTATTTCCATTCCTATTTCCATTATTATTTCCATCCTCATCCCTATTTCCATCCTCATCCCTATTTCCATCCTCATCCCTATTTCCATCCTTATCCCTATTTCCATCCTTATCCCTATTTCCATCCTCATCCCTATTCCCATCCTCATCCCTATTTCCATCCTCATCCCTATTTCTATCCTCATCCCTATTCCAGTCCTTATTTCCACCATTATCCCTACTACCATGTCTACGCCTTAATCCTCCGTATCGTCCCAAATTTCTACCCAAATCGTTCACAATTATCAACCGCATGCAAACGCTACAACAATACAACAACAGCAATGTCATTCTCATGGCCTGCTCAACTCATCAATTTGTTTTTTAACTGTGATTAGACAGGCGATATGAAACGTATGGTTTTGATCTCGTATGGTGGTGGAGTGGCAATAATTTAATGCATTGATTGTATTTTACGTTAAACCGTGGTAAATAAACACGGTGAGAATGAGATGGTGCGGTTGAAACACTGCAAATGATCGGTAGGTAAACGTGCAATTTATGATATTTTCTGATAATACGTTTGGTAAAGCAATGTTGAGAATTGTACTGCGCACTTCGCAGGAACTGATACATTAACATGGCTGTGCATCATAGACGGATCAATGCATGGATACGAAATGTTTGGTGCTGCAGAGAGAAGAATAGCGCTGTGTTTTGTAGCACGGTGTGATATAGCAAAGCATTTGTGGGGCAATAAATTAAAAATTATTTGCTGTGTTTGGTGTTCATAGGAAAGTGGTTGTACGCATGGGTTTTTTACGTTGTTTTGGACTACGTATGTGTTGTGGTGTAGGCCTGGCTAGCTCAGTCGGTAGAGCATCAGACTCTTAATCTGAGGGTCGTGGGTTCAAGTCCCACGTCGGGCGTGTGCTTTTTGTGTTAAATGATAAGCGTGTTGGCTGGATGTGCATCTCTGTTCTTTTATTCCGTGGTCAGATGCACGAGGGCAGATGGCAGGCAATTACGGTGCTTCACATTCAAACGTAGATATGATTGAACTGTTAGTCGTACCTCTGCGCACCAGACACACCACGAAGTGTTAGAATGCGGAACATTACCGGTGAAATAGCTACATGTGATTCTGAAGAGTTACGAAGTCTATAATGGCTAGAGTACAGCGCAGAACGCATTTTTTCGTGTTTTGATGTCAAATGGGTTGGGTGTTAGGATTAGAGGTTGAGCACCGGCTCAGAAGAATGGAGATGAGGGAGAATCTTACAAACCATTCCGATAAACACGGACTAGTGTAGGATGTGGTATGAGTAACTAAATACTGGATTTACTTACCGCTTCAGTTGGTTGGTGCAGATGTATCGAAATATTGGGCAATGAAGTGCGTGCTTGTGAAGAATGTGTAGGATAAACGCGGCTTGAAAACAATGATCATCTTTTCTACTGTGCTTAATGAGTAAGAGACTAAAATATTTGTTGCAGCAGTTTTTACGCATTTTATCGCTGTGAGTTCAAAAAGGTTCTGTTCACGGTTAAATTGTGAATCTAACGACGAGCACAAACTGCAAAAGACCTTCGCCTTTTAAGGATAAAAAGCAAAATCGTAACAATGAATTGGTCTGTTTGTCACCCGGTATTGTAAGCCTTCCTGGTGTTTGCAAGCTGTTATAGCCCACTTCTTTTCCTAAAAGCAGTTTATTTGTCTGCACGTACGATTCAGCGTTTGTACATCCTCTCACAAACCAGGTTTCAGTTTGAAACTGTGATGTTGAGCTGCTCCTCAACTCTGCACAAAATTATGCCTTCAAAGACTTTACTTACCAACCAACAACTTATTTCATCTCCTCTGTCTCTTATTCGGACGTAGCATCGGCTCTACCCCGCAATATTTTCATCGCTTGTCTCTTACAACACCGCAACAGGGTAACAACAACTATTACAAGGCTTAGGAGCGCAGTCAGGTATATTCCCAGGTCATAAGCGATGTAGTTTAATGGTCGAATGAGTTTGTAGCATTGGGACATAATTTTGTCTGCGTAACAAGGACGGCATTGATAGTTCGTTTCGGGTTGCAACAGAATGCGCGGTCTGGGTGTTTCCTTTCCATAATCAAACCGGTCGGCCGAACCAAACTTGCTGGAATATCCTGCTTCATCGTGATCATGACCTTGGGCCGTGGGCAATCTTGGACAGCTCCTGCTGCCATCGGGTGGCCCAAAACACAAATTATCGTTCTGCGGACCTAAGCATGTAACACTCTGCTCTGAAAATTCTTCGTTGAGAGGATCTCCAGTTACGATAAGCGCATCATTAAAACACATATTGCTCCCACAAGGTGCAGTTCGCGGCTCTAGTCGGTCATGATTACCAAAAGGTGTAGCAGCAAACGACATGATAAACTTCTAAGGCGTATCTCTGCACTTCTTAAATATTTTTTATCTAATTTGCCATAAATACGACTAGGCATTCCAACGCATACGAAACACGTAACTATGTGTTAGGCTAATGATAACCATTCAGCACAAAATTTTTAGCAAAGAAATGATACACTGTGTGAAACGAGTCTGTTGCCTTTTTATGTGCAGAGCTATGTTTTTACTCTATCACCTACCGAATTGGCATACCGCAGTTACATGTGGGCCATTTTGCATTCTTTGCCAATTCGCCTGGTGCTGCCTTTTAATAAGCCAACACTGTGAAGACCTCAATCAGCATTAAATAGCTCGCACAAAATTTTTGTTTGAGCAGCAGTAACATAAACAGACGAAAATCAACTTTCGTGAGAAAAACCTTGGTTCCTCATTTTCCCTCTTAATTGGTATATAACAGCCTATAAAATAGCATTATGACATTGCGAAGCAATTTTGATGGCACAAACCGACTTCCCATTTTTGATGTTCATTGATTCAGTCAATAACCAATCAAAATTTTTTTAATAAAAAGTTTTAGTGACCAAGGCACCAAAGCAATACAAGTAAACGTAAATACATTGATAATTACCACAATTATACGGATGAAACCAATTTGTACGTGTCATGTGTGTTTGATTGCCTTTTAACGGGAGAACTGACGCAATTGGCAATTATTTTTAGGCTCAAAACAGGACTATACCAATTTTTTTCTTTGTTTCGTACACAGTGCTGCAACCACTTGAAGACATGCATAAGTATATAAAATACAACTTCCCAATTATTTTATCATTAGCGCTGAAATTAATCTATTCCTACGACTTTAGCTTGTTCTGCTATTAAGGCACACCGAACATAAAGAGCTGACAAATGAAAACGGACATATCATCCTAAATTTGCTGCAATAAACGTAAAGGAATGTCATAAAGCGTATGACCAGAGTAGAAAAGAAATTTATTTAATGTTTTGATTATACGGTAGTAAATAAATGCACCAATCATGCCAAGGGATACACCGATTACGGATTAAGTGAGAACATTTGTTCTTGCCAGATATTTTTATTAAGGTTTTATACTCGTGTTTCTTTTCACATCACATACACAGATTAAAATACATTAAATATTTGTAGAACTGTGATCAATAAGTTTTGCGTCCATAATATGTAATCGTACGCGC